TGCACCAGTTGGTGGAGCTACAGTAGTAACTGAGGTATTTAAGATGAGTCTACCACAAAGCAAATATTATCAGCTACAGCGGTGAAATTTATTCAAATTGTGTTATTCTGGTAATTTCTTTCAGAGTTTGTATGAAAACCCAGTGTTGTGTGCCATTTCTGTCCACCTCCACTTTTTCACAATCAGTTTTAGCTTTCTGTATTCCAGAACACAAACACGTTTAAAAGATTAATTCTTACAAAAACCTTTGACAAATAGGATGAAGCTACCCAAGTTTTCTGTAAGTTCAAGTGTAATCTATCAAACCTAATTCAACTCCCAGAGCAGAAAAGGCAACAGATACATGCCTCTTGCAACATGGAAACATTCTTCTGTTTTATTCAGATTTAAACACCTGGAGTCATGTTTTATCATTGGTACCTAAATCCAGAGAGATACTTTGTTTCAGTTCACACAAACAGAATTTCTGCTGACATAGTAGAGATGTATACAGGTTTTTGCAAGAAATGCAAATATTAGCATGAGAACTGAAACAGGAAAAATATCACTGAAGTGTTAAAATGGGAGCACTTCCCAGCTTTTGTTTCACTTGTGTAGCCATAGTGCCCTCTAGCAGCCGAAAGAGAAAGTACAAGGCTTTATCTCGAGTTAAAATAAAAAAAAAATAAATAAAACCCACATATGAAATCAGAAGTGCTTTTGGTTGTGGTTTTTTTAAGCAGAGAAAGGACAGTTTGAAAATGAGAGGAAGAACATTTCTTCATGTTAAAACAAGGTTACTTTAATGGAAAGGGTTCTTCTCTTGGCTTTTATGCAGCAGAGCTCTGCAGAACTGGGAAACTATAAAAATGAGGGGTTTTAGTCTAAAGTAAAACCTTTAGTAGATCTCAGCTACACTATACGTGCATTAGCAACATGCACCTGACTTCAGGAAGAGAGCATAGATTTGTACATGTATAGATCAACACACATTTTTGTGAGGTCATTTTTTAAATCTTTGGCTCAAATGTATTGCACATAATTTTGTGCGAAATAAAGAATAAATTATAACCTTAAAAACCTAAAAAACTTTTGTCATTTCCCCAGAGATCAAATTATTGGTTAGAGAAGAGTTCATATGCCTTAGAGCTGGGACTTATCTGGTCTGGCTGCAGACCATCACAAAAACAGTTTTGAGAAGCTAGTGGGTTTTTTTAAGAAAATTTTTACCCATCAAATTACTACCAAAAAGTTTATGTGCATCTGCAATGCAGAAAAATAATAGCATAAAAAGAGCAAAAAGGCTATTTTACCCTCTCTGTATCCAAGAGGTCAGAATGAAACAAACAGGTTTCATGCAACTGCAGATGTTTTCCAGAAAAATGGTTTCCTGAAGCATGTATGTCCCAAAATTTTTTCTTCCATTTGCTTATAGTGAATTACTAAAATCCAGTTCATCAACTAGACCAGACAGATTTGCTAAATATGGTATTCCAGTCTTTGGCAGAGACAAGTGAGAAACTCATTTAGTCTGTTCTGCTAACAGAACAGGAAGAATCTTGGAATTTAAGAATTAAAACTATAGTATAAAAATGACTACAGTATACCACAGCGTCAGATGAGATGATTTTCAAAGACATCAACTGGTCTCAGGATTACAAGCTTACTGTAAGAAGAAGAAAAAAACGTTAATCTTCACTCAAACCAAGAACAAAGTACAGTAATTCAGATAAGTTTTAACATGAACACATACAGGGGAATTTTAAAAATAATTAGGAAAAATAGATGGTATGGGTGGTTTAGGTGGTATGTTCTTGAAATTCTTCTCATTAGAGTTCTCACTAGATTTTAAGATAATTCAAATAAAGATTGAAATCACCAAAGTCTATTTTTGTTGCAAGTATTTTTGATGTCCTCAGAGTTAAAACACAGTTCAGAATAAAACATGCAGAGGCATATTTAAATAAAAATTAACTATTTTATAAGACTACAGTATTTAGGTACCTGTGTAACAAGCACACTAGTGCATTTATAAAGGTCTACACTGACCTCTTTACACTGAGTCCACAAAAACTAAAGGTTCATCTTCCCTAAGGAAAAGTTTACATCTATATTGGCTCATCTGAGAAAGATGAAGCTCTTTCTTTTATCTTGACCAAGAACTTTGTCTGACTTAAAAGGTTTGTTTGAAAGTAACCAAGTGCTATAAACCCATCAACACAGTAAGATACAGCTCCAGTCAGAAGATCATGATGAAGAACAATAAAATTTTTTCAAATTTCACTTGTTTTCCCAGAAAGCCCTCAAACTTCAAGTATTTGTTCCAGTTGCTCTAATCTTTTCATTGTAACTTACTATCCTAGTTGCAATAAAAGGTAAGTAACACAGAATTAAATCTGACTATATTTTCACTAGTTGGAATGTAAAAAAATCCAAGTTGAATTACAGTAAATTGAAGTGTTTCATTGATGGTCTCTACCCTTTTTATATTACTTAGTGCATTTGTACAAGTGTAGTGCACGACTGGTCTTAAGAAAAGGAAAAATATGAATAGAACTGGCCCTAAGTGTTGCTTCAAAGAGATATTCTTGTTAATTTACTGTTTTGCAGAGTTTGCAATAGTCTGAATTACTCATTCTTTAAATGTTTTGAAGTTCAACCAAATATAGTTTTAAACAATATTGCCATTGAACTGCATGTCAGCTCACATCTTACTCCAGCCCTATAGCATTCAAGTGGAAAATAAAATACCTTCTTAAATGTTACTTTTTATTCCATGGAAATTTTGAAAAGCTGTCTTGAAGAAAACCAAGCCAGCAGGATGTTTGGTTTGTTGATTGAAACAAGGATGCAGCTCCAGGTGACAAAAGATTTCATTGTAAGCTATGTTAATAAGGATCTGACTGAAGTGACAAGTGTTGGCTAAGGTAGTAGCAAAATGATGGAGAGGAGAACAGAGCTAGACATGGAAGACAGAGCAAGCCAACAAGAAATCACATGACAAAAATCATTTTAGAATGACAGGAATTTGTATAGAATCCGTACAGACTGCAACTGGGACAGGTTCCTTATGTCGAATGACATACAACCACAGATTGGTTTTGACTGGGGTTGGTTTTAAAGTGAGAATAAACCAAGCCATTCTGATCCAGGTGTTTTTCAGAATGTCACAAGGTAACAGCAGGAAAAAAATACACACCAGTAGGAAGTTTGCAGAAGGAAGGTGATAAAAAGAATTTTAAAAGGTTTCCTCCCTTACCAGTAGAGCAGGGTGCAAAGTTTCAATGAAATGAATCTTGGATGGATGCATTATCAGGCTGAAGTCAAAACAAGCCAGCAAACTTGGAACACAATTTTTCAAAATTATATGACACAGCAATTTCAGATGATTTGTAAGAAGCTTCCATGTAAAAAAACACACCTGTAGTTGCCTTAGCTTGTGCTGAGTGACTGCAGTAAAAAGGCAGGTTTGAGCAGCAAAGCATTCCACACAAACACTTTATGGAATATGGACAGTGTTTTCCTGTGCTGTACCTATTCTGTAAGATAACACAGAAAATCTCCACCTCATGGACTGTCAATTTGGCACCCTTCAAATGTACTAAATTAATTAAGGAAGTAGGAAAGCTTGTTCTTAATTCAGTGAATTAGAACAGCTCATTCAGAGCACTGGATAGAAAGATTCTTAAAATATTTTATTTTGCCTGAAATTCAGTGTAAAAGGAAATCCATTTCCCATATACAATTCCTTATGGCAAAATTTAGAACTAGTGTAACAAGCATGGCAGTCAATTGTGACATTTCAATGTGAAACTAGGACTGTACAAAAATTTAAGTGCATGTTTTTTGCAACAAGATATGCATACACATCAGGACAGAGGGGAAAACCAAACCAAATCAAAAGCACAACAAAAAAAAAAAAAACAAACCAGGATCCAGTTCTTAAAATCCATTCAAATAATTGAAAAGCACAAACAAAGATTCTACAGCTGGGGTTCTTCTCTCTAAAATGCTACTACTTCTACTTTCTTCCATTCCTACTTTGGAATTGAAAAAAAAAGGACAGGGACATGACTAATACCAGTTCTCCCCCTTTTCAGAAAAAGACAAAAACATGGACTACAGAAAACATACTATTAACTGAAGCACTATCACAAAAATCACAGAATATTCCAAGTTGGAAGGGACCCACAAGGATCATTGAATCCAACACTTAAGTGAATGTTGGTACAGGCTCATATCCATCTACTTGATAAATAAAACAGTAGTTTTATGATGCACTCATTAATGGATTAACGGGGGGGAAAGAAAATACTAAATCAAAACAACACCCCACCCACTCCCTTCATAACAAAAATAAACCCCAAGACTTTAATATTTAACAAATAGGTTTCCTTTTGAAACCAGTCCAGCAAAATGCCACTAAATGGAAACAAAAACAAGTCTCTCTGAGAGGTCCTTTACTGCAAAGGGGTAGGCAGTTCCCCTTCCTAAAATGCAACTTCAGACCTCACATACCAGAAAGACCTGCTAGAAAGAGCCAATGAAGATTTTCTGTGCAGTACACTAACATTTCCTGTATTTTTGAATGGTGAATATGTGCTATAGTGTAAACTTAGGATTTTCGAAGTGTTACTTCTGAAATTAAAAAATGTAATCATAAAAACACAGGAATATAAAAAAATGCATTAGTTGTGTACTCAAGTTTTTAGAATAATACCAAGTATTCAGATTCTCCTCACATATTTTTCTAAATTATATTTCAGTACTGCATGTTATTTTTGTGCTATCAAACTTTCTTCTAGAGTTGCACAGTGCAGAAATATAAAAAAATTCCTCATTGTTGGAGTATTATTATTTTTAAGATTTGACTTGCATTACTTAAAATTCAGAACATCCAGAAGTTTTTATGCAGAGTACACCATGTGTTAATGTAGATAAAACACGATTGAGATTGGTTTTATATACTCAGTATTATTTAAGTGTAAGTGATAGTGATTCAAGCTCCTTTTGTGAACATGGGGGTGGGGGTTGCCATTTGGAATGGTCTTTTCTCTTTTTTTTTTTCTTTTTTTTTCTTTTTTTTTTTTTTCATCATGAAGGACCATTGCCTTAGCTTTTTTGGTTATTGCTTTTTTTTCTTTTTCTTTTTTTTTTTAAGACCATTCCATTTCTTTATTTTTTTAACATCTTAAAGTCATAAGGACTTATATGCAAAGCAGTCATACACTTTATCATTAAAACCCATAGGTAAAATACGTACACAAATCCAACAAAAGGCTAGTACATAGTAAAGCCTAAGCATACTACTATGCAATATTATGAATACATAACTTTAGAGACTTCAGTTTAGTACTGTTATCTATTCATTTCTGAAAACATTCACAAAGATTTTAAATGCAAATTTTCATTCCGTATCTGGAATAGAACAAAAATTATCTATGTTATAACAACTTTTGGTCATTCGTGTTTGACCAATTCAGTAAATTACAAAGAACCCAAAGAATTCTGTAACTTTCTGTAGAACTATGTAATAAAAACATTGCATATGTTCCTAGTATGATGTCTTTAGCAATCATTTACTGAAATGTAACTCAAACATCAATCTCTCAAAATGTATAACCGACCAGCTGCTTTTTAATCTATATCTGAATCCAACTTCATCACAAAACCCCTTTTAATACAAAGATGCAGAAGTACATTAGGTAATACTAATGCAACACAGGTGCAGTTCTAGCATTGTCGTTGATCAGTTGAATCATCTTCTCCATGAACGAGATTCATTCTCCTCTTCCTCTTCATCATCATCTTGAAGCAGTGAGTCATCCACCAAAGATTCTTCCTGAAACTTTAAGAGAAAAATATGATTACTGTTCTATCAGAAAATGTTAAAAATCAAAAAGCAAAATACAAATGGTACTTGCACTATAATAAAGAAAAAAACTTGGTTGTGAATAGGTAAACATTAATGCTTTCAAGAAAGTACACTGGATGTGTATGTCTTATATATATGTATATTACTAAATGGCAAATTAAACTTTTTTCTTTTCAACAGAATTCAAGATGACCATGACACATGCACCTCATCCTTAAACATCTCTTCTGATTCTTCAGAGTATCGTTGGTGTCCAAGCTGCTATGTTCCCATGAAACTTAATATGCTATACTGAAAATTAACACTATCAGAAAGGTTGAATCTGGGATTTTTTGATTTTGACAGCTTAATCAAAATTGAAAGCAACGTAAAAATGTAAACAACTGAGGCAGGGAGACAGGTATTTAGAGAAATTCAGACAAACAGTATATTTTCAATTCTGTTCCATAACAACATAGTAGCTTGAAAGAATTCAACGCCTTTGACTATAAGTGGCTTTAATTTCTACCTACATATAGACACAGATGTCTATAAACATTGTATATAACCTATCCTATCTTGGAAATGTTTTGAAGATCGCAACTAACTCTAAGGAAATTCTGCCACAGCTAAAGAAAGAACTAAAACACAAAGAATTCTTTCCCTATCAAAACTGCCCAGCTGTTAGAAAATGTGTTCTTTCTTGCTTATTCTTTGTGTCTAAGGAATTATAGGTTTTTTGCAACAGTATATCCAAATTCAGCAAGACATGTGAAGGTTGATTTGCAAAGTTATGAAGTCTTCTGAGAGAGAAGAGGCTCTAGGCTGAAGAAAGCCTAGAACTACGTCTTCTCTCTTTCCAGTAGGTGTTTTTACAAGAGTATCTTCATTATTCTTGCATATGGAAGGAATGGTTTCAAAATAAGCTCTGTTGACACCTGACCCATCTGTCAATGTATGCCTGATCCTAACTAAAAAACAGAAACTTTCTGAGGACTTAGATCCTTTCCTGGTATTCCCTGATGTTGAGTGAGATAAAATACAGCCGTGTAACAGTCAAAGAGGAGGAGTCCTGGGCAGTGCACAGGGCAGAACTCTACAGAGCACAAAACTGAGTGGTAGTAGAGATGATCAAAAAGCCAGGCGTCCATAGAGGGGAACAACTATAGGGAGAGAAAATAACTGAGGGAAATATGACAGTGTCCCTATATATTAAGTATCTTAAAGAAAATTAAGAGAGAACATTTAGGTGGCAGATCCAATAGAACAATACTTATTCAGGGTTACTTATTCAGACATAGCTGAACAGTAGCGTTCCCTCTTACAGGACATTACATATGTTATTCAGATTCCAAAGAAACCAAATAAATTAATACCATAAACACATGCCAATGCCATTCAACTACAAAGACACTACATTTCTGACTCAAGAGGTCCCTGAACTGCAAATCCCTGATGATTAAAAGCTTATCTCTACTTACACATTTTAACTCTTGCTAGGGATCAGTTGTTGACTCAGCAGAGTCAACTCTTCTGTTAGGCAACCAGGTGTAGAACATAAGGCATCTATGAAGACCAGATGCTTTTTATAATTAGCTGGCTACTCACCAGGGATTTTCTACAGTGCTTAAGTGCAAAAGACTTTCCTCTTATTTGATGAAGTTGGGACTGGGAACCCTGTTTCATTATTAAGAATCTCACTCAGCTGAATTATATAGCTCATTTCTTCTTTTCTTGAAACAAAGTACTCAGTCTTATTCAAGTCTTAACGCTGCTACTTTCTCTAGCATAGTACCCAGCTGAACTAACATGGTATGTATGGAATAATGAAGAAAACTTTTTTCATGTGTTTACAATAGCTGCTATAAAACAAATTAAGTAGCAAGCAGACAAAACCAATGAACAGCTAAGGTTTGGATCCAAGTTCAATTCCTAAGTATTCTCCACAGGAATAATTAGCTAAGGCAGTTAAAAGGCAGATCTCTTTGTAGCTCACCTACCAATGAATCTGTACTTTCCTTCCTTTACTCTGCTGAAATGTTTGCATATCCCTGAATGCCCTTCCTTCATTACACAAAAAGTCTCAAGTGAAGTGGTTACTCAAGGAGACCTCTCAATAATGCAGATTCTTTGCATCAACATACTGCTGTTGATCTTCCCAGGCAACACATCTCTGAAGGAGACGTAACAAAATACCTAAAATGCTCTGAAGATTCCACAATATAGTCTCTTGTTCACTCACACCTCATGACAATTCTGAAGGTTTGTGTACATGGGGAAAGTTGTACTCAGTAAACTGGAATGCACAAATGTCTAACGTGAGAGGTACCTATCTTCAACTGGCACATAAAAACAAATTGGCATTTTTGGAGACAGGGAGCCAACACCCAAAGTGGCTTTCTTCAGCAAAAAAAACAGAAAGTGAACACCACCAAGTATAAGAAAACTAACCAAATTTGGTTGTATCAAGGCAAACTTGTGAAGCTGCTTCAGTGGTAGATCCGCCAAAATGCCACACAAAAAAGATACAGACAAAATACTGTCATCAAGTAAGTCAAGGTACACTTGCACTTTAACTTTTCTATGCCAATTATGTGGATACAGTTATCTGACAGTATATAAGTCTGGAAAAAGACTGTTTGACTTTATTCCCAGGTGACTTTTCCGAATTCACAAACATAGGTATTTGAGTGCAATGAGTTAGACTGCATCAATACATATTGCCCTACTACTTCTACATTAACTAATTAGGATTCTTTGCACAAGGCTTTAGTATCTTTCATGTACCATGATGAAGACTAACACTCAGCAAGGGTACTTTATATATCTGAATGAAGTCAGAAAATGCTCTGAATTATTCCTTCATCTGTATCCTCCATGACATTATCTATAAAGGAAAATTAGAGTCTGAAATATGATCCTCTAAGAAATTAGTGCCAAAAGCAGATAGCAGAAACCCATGTTTTGGAAAAAATCCTCAATCTCTCTCATGCAAGTTCAAACCTGTGCCTTCCATTTTCTAGATATATCCCTTACAGTTTTTTGTTATGTAAGAAATTAAATATTTCTGCAAGGAAAAACAAAATATATAGACTTTCAACACCCTAAACCCCAAGAAATATACAGAAATCTACTTTCTGATATCAAAATATGAGTTCGATTAAAAAATACAAGTATGAATCCACAGATAAATTTTCTTTTTTAAAAAGTGGTATTACATAATCTTAAAAAAGAAAAATTAAAATAAAAAATAAAGAAAAAGCAAGCTTACTTCTTCTTCATCAGGTTCAGCCTCCTCTGTTTCAACAGCTGACATACTAGCAACAGGCTTGTTCCATGCCAACTTTAGCTCTTGTCCTTTGAAACGAGACCCATGAATTGCAGCCTAAAACAAGTTTAACTATCTTAGTTACATGTGACTTTACAAAACAAAGTCTAAGTTGTAAAATGTTCATACTGAAGTGCTGTTACTAGGTTAAATGAAACAACTTCATTCACTGCACATGGAATTCATACATCCTTTGAGGAAAATGATGAAAACACATTTAGGAGAAAATAAGCTTGGGAAGCTATAAATCATTTGGTAATGTGGGTAACATACTGAACCAATACCTTCCTGTTTTTTAGTATTATTTTGCAGGGTTCCTCACCTTTCAAAGACAGACACAAAACTATTAATTCATAACTTACTGGAAGAAGTAAGACATGCCACAAATTATTTAACATATTTTTTAAAACCCAACAACCAAACAACTGAAAAAAAGTCCCTGTGTGATTACAATGTAATCTACTGGAAAACGTTCCACTTCCTGTAAAGCTGTTGTAATTGAAATGTAAAAATTTTTAACTTATGGGATATTCATGTCTTTCCAAGTACCAGTTGCATTAAGTGGCTGCTTTGGAAATAGTATGTTCAAATTAAAGTAACATGAATGAGCATAAATCAGTGTTAGCAACATTCCGAAATAACCGTCATGGTCACAAAAGATTTATAGTACAATCTGAAAGTACAGCATAATGTGAAATGTAGAAACAATTACATGTTCAATGACATCTGAACATGAATTGTGTGATATTAAAGTCCCCAGGTATAAATTTTAAATCTGTACATATAAATTTATGATAAATTTAAAAGACTCTATGCTTATTAAAATGCAGCTCAGGAGCTTTTTGTCCATGGTCTCATCACAATGTCACACAACTAGAATTTTTAAAAGTACTTAGATGTGACATTTAGGTCCAGAAATAACTTGTACTCTTTGGAAGAAATTACTACTACATAAAAATGCAACATTTTACAATAGGGAACCTTCCTCTTCCTTCTAGGCTAGAACATATATGATCATAAAGCCTAGGCCTATTTTCATTTAAGAAGGTAAAATATTAGCTGCATTTACTTCACAACTTTCCTCAGCAGAGGTTTTTTAATGATTACTTTCTACAACTTCTCAAACTGTCAGCTTTAAAGCTTTAGTTGTAAACACAGACATTCCAATGGAAATATATTTAATATGTAAGAATATCTTAAAGAAAATACAAATTTTCGATATAGATTTGATTGAGCCCAGTTTTAATAAAATCTTCAGCTTCTTAAAAATGAAGCTGAAATTAGACACCAAGTTTAATCAAACACAAAAGTGACAATTAAATGTTTCAATGCTCACTAGAACATGGACATCTCAAACATTGATAATAAATCCTGATCCAGACCTTTGCAGTGAATCATACTCCATTTGGCAGAAGTAAAGACTTTTATTTATATACTTTACTTCTATATAGAAGTAAGGAGTTATTATTTGGATAGTCCACAAAAACAGATTATTTATTGTTCTAGGAGACCTATTTTTATTTTCAGGGAAGCAGAACTTTCTCTCCACACTTAAAGAGTATTTCATGTGCAAACGACAATGCCAAAGAACGTGAAACTGCAAAAGGAAGTATCCAATACCAGGAAACATCAAAACTAAAATCCCAACTTTATTTCAATTCACTTATGTATATACTAATTACAGCAGCTTCCATCTTCAAACAGAATTTTTGTTCACTGTTGAACTATGTTCCTTCAGTACAGGTGTACAATACTGTTTTTCTCCTATCAGTCAGTATACAACATGTACCATTAATTGTACCTCCTTTTCTATGGAATAAATACTATCTCCATACAGTTAGTGCTCATCATTACTATAGCTAAGAGTTTCACAAACAAAACAGAATTCTGTGTTTTTGTAAAATATCTTTGGCACATGGATATCAAAATATCTAACTATACATGATACCCTAAGTGTTCAAAACTATTGTCTCCAGCAGTTAATTTGCATTGTAAATAACAGTTATTTCTTTCAAATCACCTTACTGGTGTCTCAAGATGAAAAAGAGAACAGTCTGGCCAGTTATGAAAACTGTGCTCAAGTAAACTCCACAAGGTAAAATTTGTGCAAAATATAAACTTAAAATGAAATCTTTCCATACAACCATACTGCAAATCTGAACCCATTCTTTCTGTAGTCCCTACTATTTTAAAGAATATTTCGTCCCAACAGTGACACAAGGATTTAAAAAAAGAAATATATATCGTTTTCAGAACAACCATATTATTAATTTGTTCAAGATCTCATAATATACTGTATGCCTATACCATGGACCAAGTAAGGCAGGAGTCCTGCTGATACAAATGTACTAAGTTCTAATGATCCATATGTAATGATACTGAATTATAATGAAAGTCAACTCTGGATTTTAGTTTCTAAAAGTTATGTCTGCAATTTTATGCTTCTCTAATTTCATAAATCTCTAAAAACATGTTAAAAAAAAACCAGAAACTAAGAATCAGATCAAATCTCATTTACACTACTACACACTTTCAGACAAAGGTAAACCAAAGTGATCCCAAACTAAATATAGTCCTGATTCTGCAGGATGTCAGTGAAATTCCAGGTAGACTATGAGGTTACCAAGTCAGGTAAAAAAACTTGGCAATTAAATGAAGATAAACCAAGACATCTAAATATCAATTCTTAAGGCTTTCTCTTAAATCCCTCTTACACTTCGTTTTGCTGTAATTTCCTAAGTATTTCAGTACTGTACAGTTCTGACATTTTTGTTTAATTTAAACTTTTGTGACAGCAGTTTTAAAATAGCCATTAGTATTACATTTAATCAAATACAGAAGGGTAACAAACAAAGTATTTGAATGCTACAGTATATTTTCAAGAAAGATTATACTCACAGCTTCAGCTTCTGCTCTTGTTTTAAAAGTAATCACCGCATGGAGAGAAGAGTCATCTATCTGGCAATCTTCAATTTCACCATATTGCTTTTGATAAACAAACAAACAAAAAAAAGTTTAGTAAAACAGTTCTCCCACCTCTAAAAATGAAGTCCTAAATCAAATGCCCTCAATAAAAAAGCAGAAAATTAGAACAGTGCATATTTCACAGTCTTAATGCCAGAGTACTTGTCCTAGCCAAGTCTTGTCTCTGGATTTTCCAATTCCTATAGGTATGAAGTAAAACTATGACAGAAGTGTGCTGCTCTGCTTCAGTATTTCTCTTCTGATTAGAAAGATCTTGAAATGATTCCATTAACTTATTATGAAACATTTCTACAGAAATTTCTTGGAGTCAGGAGCTATAGGAAAAGTTTGAAAACTCAACTGTATTTCAGCATCTTAATAACATGACCTATCTATTCCTGTAATGACCATGATAGTACTGCTATCTTTGCTGCTGCTGCCATCAGTGTAAGCTGCAAAGACCAAGAAAAAACCACATCTGTGCAAGAGGACTGCACTGCTGATGTGCACAGGGTTGTGGTATCCTATCACAGGAACAGAAATACAGCTCAAAGAATTTCCAATGGAATCTGGAGCAAGTTTAAAGCAGCAAGCTTGCAATCTGCAAAATTAAAAATTAAATTTTTTCTCAGCCTTATCCAACTAACATTGTGAATGGAATTGTATTTGTTCATGTTACTAAGTTTCTTTTTGATTACAGTTTTGGCTTGTTAAAGATACTAAGTTTCATTTAAAAAGAGAGACCAGTTCTTGCTTTATTTATTTATTTGTTTGTTTGTTTTAAAAGCTTGCATGACTGCCTGACAGGAAATATTAAGTACACTGACTGGAATAGAATTTAGTGGACTAACTGGTTCCTGGACTTCTCTATTCAGAGAGGACCATTGCAATTAAATGTTAGGGGAAAAAAACCCACACAAACAATGGGGAAGGTGGAACAGATAGAGATTTGCATGATATACTTAGCATTTATTCCACAAAATAAACAAATTTGCTTTTACTACAGTCTTTTTTAAAATAGAGGGTGTTTTTATAAATTTAAGTTGATTTTTAACTATTATATTTACAAAGAAAAATCTTCTAAAAATTATGTGTGCCAGTTTATAATTTTTTAGACTGAAAATAGAAAAAAAAGTAGAAAAATATCTGACTTCTTAAGCTTAAGTACATGATTAGACAAATACTTGGATGCCTTTTCAAGATCTACATATAACTGAACAATTTTCACTCTGACTTAAATTCAGAAAGTTGGGCAAAAGCACTGAAAATGTTTGAAGAAAATTTTCATTATGCACTTGTTAAGATACTTCAACAAAGACAAACATACTTCAGGTACTGAAAGTTTGACAATAAATCTATCTTGGTTCTCACCATCCCTTCAGTTATTTTATCTTTCTGTACCTAAAAAATTGTAAAAACTTTACATATGTCCTAAGCAAATAAATATTACAAGCTGTTTTTCTTTGTAAGAATAAAAGCCTTCTAAACACCATGTGATTACACCTATAACTAGTTGAAGCAATAGTGTATTTTTCCTGTTTTACCTTTTCCTAAAGCATCTTCTGCTAAAGATTCATTACTACATAGTATTTCCAGATGAACTGAATCAGGAGAAAACAAGTCATTCAATGCAAGGATGTTATCCAAAGGTGGAAAAAAAAAAGTGCAATTTGATATACCGCAAAATGAGGCAGGAGATCTTCCCTGTCGCTTTCGGTAAATGCAGAGATTTCCAGTGCCCTGGGCCGGTGATCCACCACTGCGTGCACAGGAACTCCTCTGCCTCTGCCCCGGCCCCGTATTCCTCTGCCTCTGCTACGCGATGCACCCCGGCCTCTCGCATGAACCCCTCTACCGCGAACTGAGGAGAGAATCCCTCGCTTGGCAGCCTAAGATGTTTACACATAACATATTGGTAGATTAAAATTCACCATCTACATATTTAGACAGAATTTACAAACACATATTCTGATGTTTCCTAAAAACACATCCCCAAGAAAGCCCCAGAAAAAGCAGCTTGCAGGTATTAAAATAACAGAAGGTGAACATTTAAATAGCATTCAAAAGCTAATTAACTAAAGGTTAATCATTACCAGACCAATAATAGGATGGAAAGAGGAAACAAGAACCAGGTATCAAAAGAGCCCTTATCTGTGAAGATAAACTCCTCACAGCAACTGCTGTACAACTCAAATTTCATTCCCAAAATTTCTTGATACAGTGTTTAACTACTTAATTAGTCTCTTTATTTTATCCATTTGTTTCTGAAATTTAGACAAGACTTTCATTCTGACCAGAATTACGACACCTTAAGAGCTTTTGAGCACAGAACTGTGAGATGTGAAATGAAGGTTTCTAAGAGGCACCTCCAAGGACAAAATACTCACTGAACACTTGGGTCTAGGTACTCAAAAATATCTATTTCCACAGCACCTGTGTCTCCCTTCTAAAGAACTGGCATATGTTCTTCAAGAATAATTGAAAGGTCAATGGCAGTGACTGCCATTTACGTTAAGTTTTGAAAGACCCCTTTCAGGTATCTAATTTCAATGTTTACAGCAAGAAAAAACATATTTTTGAACCCTAATAGATCTGCCATAGGAATCAAATGTTAAATTAAATCACCACACTTTTAACATATCCTACAGTGTTTATAAACTCAGTGATGGCACTACTTTAATGCATGTCAGTGATATTAGCCACAAGATCATTTTCTTACAGCTTTATTCATTAAATTATTCAGATAATTTTACAATAGTATCTAGCTTGTTTTTTAGGTTTTTATAAACAGAATGCTGACATATTTGGGTATTTTTCATTTTGTTCTTTTTTAGGGTTTTTTAAACATTTTAAAATGTTTAAATGAGTAATTTGGGGCATGCTGACTCAACAAACAAGCTGCAAACTAGTTGGATTTTCTTTCAGTAAAGTCAGGGTCACCTGGAACAGAAAAACAGGTTATGAGTCAAAGAAACAACAAATAAAATATTGTGGGAGTCAAAGTCACATACACAATATGTGAATAAAAATTTTTAAGAGAATTTTTAAGAATACTGAAGAATCAAACAAACAACAAGGGGGAAAAAAAACCCCCATATCCCCCTTGTAATCTGAACAAGGGATATACTTCATGCTGTTGTTCCCTGAACCATGTAAGCATGCATCACTGGTGACCCTGTTTTTCTCCATCTACTTCTGTTTGTATATGCTAAAGGCTTCAGAAAATTCCTTTAAATATTACTGTCCTGAAAGAGCTCTTTTTTACCTAACTCAAAATACAGACTTAATGAGAGATGGAGTAGGATTAGTGTACTCAGCTATGATGTAACTATATTGTGAGTGTGCACCTGCTTTTCTATTCTTATTTTACATGTCATTAAATTCACATATTTGCTGAGGTGTAGAATTTAAAACAATCTTTCAGTACACTTATACAATTTTACTCACCATCAGAAAATACATTGTTAACATATGGCTTTTGCGCCATCTCTATTAAATTGGCTTGGTTTATTAGCAAAACTATTTTCATGCTTACCAAAGCTGCATAACAAGTTTTAAAGTAAGATTTTGATGCAACTTTGCTGCACGTATGTGTGCTGTATTCATATGCAGTTACACATAACACATGACCATGTCTTAATGACTTCATTAAGAGCTATTTAAGCGTCACAGCAGCCCTGCTTACCCTCAGTAAAAAGAGATTATCAACTGATTCAAGTAGATATTACACAATCATATAGGCAAGAAGTGCAATATAACACAGAATAACACCCACAGCACTCATCATTTCTCAATAGACACATATATGGAAAATTTTGTTCAGCCATCTCAATTTTTTTTTCAAAGCAAGTACTTAAAGAAAAAATTGTGTTTCTACACATTGAATACTTCTTGAAACACTGTATTTGCTTTTATTAAGTCTTCCCCTTGAAACCAACACTGAAATAATACTACTTTTGGCACCTCAGGCTTTTTGATGCTAACACTTAAGAACAAAAGATCAGGCTTTTCTGTGTCAAACACAAAACTACCTTCAGGCAACAATTCCATGTTCTCAAGAAAGCATTACTACCATAAATCCATAAAATATCATGTCATCTATACAGTTACAGAATTTAAATAATTAGCAATCCCAATTAAAGACACTACTATTTCTGAATTCCACTGAAGTAGGTGAAGTGTTTTTTTAAAATATTATTGTTATATGTCTCCATCTACATGCAACTTAATACTGCATTCTGGAAAAGAATAGCTCATGATACAATGCACAAGCTAAACATAAAGGAAAATATTTTATTAAAAGTTAATTGCTACAAAAGAAGATACAAACATACTTCCAGCTGCAGTTCTGTATATTTTCGTCTTAATTCAGTAACCTCCTCCCCAGCTTGCATCTTCTTGTATAAATCCAGTTCAGTATCTAGTAACTCCTTCTGCATCTAAGAAATTGTTATAGCAAATTATTAGTTCCGCAGTTTACATTCTCTACCAAGGAAACAACTGTTTGATTAAAAGCTGTAACTTTGAAGGTATACTGCTTATTACACTGGCTTTCCACTTTCAAAAACAAACCTAGCACAAGCTTAGGAGTCTTCATAGCAAGGTAAAACTTTCATCTAAGCTTTGTGATATCAAGTCTTTTAGACTACCAAGCCAATCCAAAGCTAATGGAATTTTTTTTAAAGACACATACAGTAAAAATTCAAGACTATATGGTTATGGTGATGAGATGAAGGAAAAAAAAAAAAAAGCCAATACAGCTATGAATGAATAGAAAATCTATGATCAGTACTGAGAAAAAGCATCTGAGTTTATTACAATGTCGTAATGCAAAAGCACAAATGGTAGCACTATTCAGACAATAGTGAAAAAACACAGGAAGTAGCAAGACCTTTGCTAACAAACAACTGGTCTCTGATACACTCAAAGTTACCTTCCAGGACACAGGATCCTGAAAAAATCATTAAAGTTCAGAAAACATATATGAAACAGAAAGGTATCTCTGAACCCCAATAAGGACATGTTCAAAGCAAACACTAAGGTGCAGGGAAAGATTTAAGTAAGCATGAAAACTTAATTTGAAGTTGTGATCCAAAGAGAAACTTTTTTGTCTTCTTTTTTTTAAAGAAGCAGGACCCAAACATTTCAATGACATCAGAAACTAAGGCTAACCATAAAAAAAAACTACAGAGGATTGTGAAACAGTTTACATTTACACATGTTGATTCAAAACAACAGCATGGAATATTTGCAAAAGCTGGATGTCAAAAGACAATGGTTATCTGCTTGTGACAGCTGGAAACCAAGTGTCATCATTTGATAAAGAAAGGTGATGGGTTTTTTTTCCTGGAATCTTTAAAAGAAAAAAAAAAACTGGATTATTCAACTGGCAGCTTCAACCTCAAGTTTATTAAGCTCCATTTCTCTGATTATCTACTGCAACCAGATGAAAAAAAAATCCATTATCTTCTGTATAATGGTTTTTCAAATTTTCAAAATTGGAAACAGTGTTTCTCTCAAATCCCACTGTGTTGCAATACATCAATGACATGACAAAAGAAGAGCTTCTGAAGTTTAATGATGACCAGCAGCTAGCACTCACAGAGCAGCCAGTGACACTGGTGTAATGAAGACTTTTGAGGTTTATTATAGTGGTCTTAATGAAGACTCCTCTTTTACAGAGCTGTGTCAAGTCTGAAGAAGAAAATACCTCCTCATTCAGGACACACCAAGAGGCAGCAAAGGTTTCTCACTTAAAGTGGGAGAGCCTTTTGTAATCTGGATCAACTGGAAGAAGCAAAAACAAGTAAAGATAATGGCAGTCATGTGGGCCTCATCTTCCATATCTTCTTCAGTGTCTTCTTCACAGTTGTCCAGGTCTTTAACACTTAAAAATGCAAGAGAACCAAGACCAAAATCTTTCAGACAATTGTCAAAGTTGAAGAGTTAAACCAAGAGCTCTGTAAAATCCTCACTTATACAGAAGTCAGATGGGGCTGATTGTTTTTGCTATTTCAAATGTTAACAAAACTGCACAAAGATCCACTATGAAGTGCGTTTACTTAAAACATTTCTTCATTTTCTGTATTTCAAAGGAAATGGAAAAGCAGGTCAAAAACTTCATTAAAAGTTCAATGTTAGTATATTGCCTCACTTTTTCTTAGTAAAAACAACTATCACATAAGGAAGTGGTAGACCAGGTTACCAAGCAAAGAGTGACGTGGGCAGAATAAACAGATAAACAAAACTGGGTTGAAGAACCATCTCAAATACAAACTTACCAATCATGCAAATGAGGAAGGGCCTACACAACAGCATCAGAGGGGAAAAATCTCCTTCCTCTTCTGTGAAATTAGTGCCTCTCTAAAGAGCCTATACACTAACACACAAAACTTGTGAAACAGAGAAGGCACTGGATGTCTGTGTGCAGTTACAGGGCTATAATCTCCCTGGGACTATAGAATCACAGAGAAACAGACAGTGGAGTGGTGCAGTGGACAAAAAGTTTCTTAAGGATGAGCCAAGATGGCAAGGTGTAGAAATTGCTCTTCATTAAGAGAGTGCAGTATGAACACACAGAGCTCTGCCTGGGGACAGATGATGAGCCAGCTGAAAGCTTATGAGTCAGGACCAACAGTAGACCTACACAGGTGATATTGCAGTGGGTGTGTACTACACACTATCTAGTCACATGTGAAAGTAAATGAGGCCTTCTTCTGACAGCTGGAAAAAAATTCCTGTTTTAATACCATGGGTCTGGGTAACTGCTGGAAAGGCAGGATGATTTCCAAAAATTGCATCCTCCAAGAAGATGCAGGAAATAAACACGGCAGAATGCTTGCCTGAACATGACGATTCTAAAAAAACTTATATCCAAAACCAAGATACAAGAGGTAGAGTACGAAGAGGACACAGTGAAATTGTCTGAGCATACAGGTACTGGTTTGGAAAGCTGAAGCCCACCGAGGGCTTTGAATCTGGCAAGGGGGGTGAGAAACAAGAAGGACTTCAACACATCAATCAGCAGCAAGAGGAACACTATGCTGTGAAAAATGTGGTCTGACTGCTGGATATTAGAGGACCTGGCAACAAAGGACATGAGAATAGTGGAGGTACTCAATACCTCCTTCTCCTCAGTCTTTACTGGAAAGATTTGCCTTCATAAATCCTGTATCCTGAGACTGTAAAAGCCTGGAGCAAGAATCATAGAATCATCAAGGTTGGAAAAGATCTTTAAGATCATCAAGCCAAACTGTCTACCCACAGATACCAGTGTAGCTAAACCACATCACCCAGCACCTGATGCAGACACCTGAAGCACCTTAAACACCACAAGGAATGTGACTCCACCACCTTTCTCAGCAAGCAACCTATTCTATTGTCTGACCACCCTAGCAATTTATGCCCATTTTCAGGACAAATATATATTGCTTCAACTTTTTTCTAACAAACTATATAAGAAGATATAGTTGAGTACACAGAAGTAATTTCAGTATTTCTTTCTGGTATTTCTTTACAAAGCTGTGATCTGTTTAGGAACAAATACTTCTATAAAAAGCAAATCAGTGTATTTTAAAAAGGTAATATGATTGCATCTTTAGGCAGGTAGGAAACTGGTAAACAGCCATGTATCAACAAGCATAGCAGCAGAGGAAAAAGTGCTTCTCACAAGTAAAATTCAAATATGGGCACCTGGATCAAAGGAAAATTGACAAGTATAATCTTCAATCTTAAAAGGTTAATACACTGACAAATTTCCTTGAAATAAAAAGTCACAGAAAATTACGTACCAGTACAGTTTTTTGTATTGAGCCTGACCAGAAGATATTTGTGCTGCCTAACTATAATCTTTTCGTGTAAAAAATACTATTTTCATTATTTCTATTAAAAATTTATGAAAGCAATAGACTATACACAAAGCATTGGATAAAGTAAGAGAAAGAATCATAAGACTTCTGATTTGTTTCTTTTGATCTTACAGATGATGCAGTATCTGTGTAACAGCAGATACAGCTTTTAGACAACAGCATGGTTTTAAAACTAACCTTTGATAAGAAGGCAAAATGGATCTCACTTCAAAGAGGACTTAAAAATTAAACCAGTTAGGGGTTTAAACACTGCTGATGAGACTACTTATTTTTACTCCTCTGAAACAAACACATGAATGCATCTATTAAAAAGCTCAGAACTTGAGTACCTGAGTTTTAGTTTTCATGCTTTTTAAAGGCGTCCCTCCTCCTGGTGATACACCTTTTAATTCATCCTTTAACTTGGTAATGCTATTAGTCAAAATTTCCAGTGTTTTCATGATTTCTGCTTTGTCTTCTGACTTCATGGCTTTATTCTTCTCCAGCTTTGAAATGAGCATCTGTCCAGTTCAGGAAAAAAAAAAGTCTTTTTACTCGGCAACTACTACTACAGATCTGTTTTCCAGTGGTCATTGTAACTAACAGAAAAAGCCAATACTGCATTTGTTTTGCTGTGACCTACAAATCAACACATAGGACTTTTAACACATTGTGTTAAAATAAAATCTTTGTCTGAATCTGATTTGTTTCCTAAAGAATGCCTGATATTTCATTTGGATAGATTTGTTTAACACACTTCAATTACTTCAAAATTTTATTCAACTTAAATGACATTTTGTCTTTTTTCTCTTCCTAAGCCTATGTGCAGTCATGCATAATTTTCTACATCATTCTTTCCTGCTCTTGTCAAACAGAACTTAGGCTTTCCCTTCCCCCAAACAGATGCATGTTGCCTCCAAGTTAGGCAATTATCAATTAAAACTGGACATAAATTGCATAAGCTTGTAGGGGTTTTTTTAACAGGACAAGTTAGATTAAAACTATAAACTCAAAATAGTATGATAATGCCATTCTAAGAGAATACATATTTTATAGGCAATTTTTTTGTACATTCTTATAAATTCTGAAATATTTTATGCTGAACTGAGATTTTGTAACTGAACTGGTAGACTGTTTTTAATGCTATTATTTTACCTTCTGTGTTTCAATGTGCTTCTCCAAGATTTCTTGCTTCTTTTTCCTCACATCCTGTTGAAGTCTCAATGCTTCCTAGAAGCATAAAAAGATTACAAAAAGTTTCTAGACTTTGAAACTAAATTATTAATAACGTACTATACCTGGCAACTACACAGTAGTAACTTACAGTAACGGAAAGAATTAGTAGCAGGAAATGCAAGGTACTGATATTTCCAACTATTTTTTGGAATACAATGCATGACCATATTAAAGAAAGATCTAATTATCTTTTTCAGTTAGATCTGTACTGTGAAGACTTTACTACTACTCATATAAAGTAACACCTTACAAAACTCCACTGAAAGCTGAAAGGCAACATATTACACTGCCTCAAGAGGTACAGCATGCATGTGTTTAAATATGTGAGCACAATTATCTTGCAAGCAACTGTAAATCAAGTCCATCAATTAAAACACAGTTTACAGAACTGTTACAAGTAAAAAGAAAACACATTCTATTTTCTAAACTTGAAGTGTCACCCAAAGAAAAGCACCTCTTTTGTGTCTGAGTGCTCTAACTGGGAAGCGAAAAGTACAGCTACTCCATCTGCCAACAACAGAACCTTGACCAGGCAACGGGCAAATCAAAATTAACAGAAACTGATCAGTAAGTGACAATATTGCACGCAGAATGAGAAGCAGGAGGAGATGCCACCCCTGCTGTGCTCTACTAATGGTGCTTATAAGAAAGCAGTTGCTTCTTGTTCTCAAATACAGAAGTCTTAGACAGCAGAAAACCCTTAAGAGCTTTGATATCAACATATTTAATGGAATAGTAGAGGAGAGACAGAAGATGATCAGCTAGGATCAATTGCAAGTGGAATATCTTATACAAAGACTGTAAATGCACAACAGCCATAGAAAAAGAAATAATAGTCAAGTTTCTGTATGTCTTCCCAAATACTGACAAATTCTGCTGCATGAAATGTTAGTTTTTCAATACAGTGCGCAATCATTTTTCTGAAGGGAAAGGGAAGGTAAGATAAGGGGATGAATGCGAAAAAAAGCTAGGGAGACAGGAGGAAAAGAATGGAGTCAGTCCCACAAAATCATGTTTTTCCACAAATACTAGTATATTGTAACAGAAATCTCTGAAGGCAGGAAGGAGCACAAGATCACATGAAAAAAGAGCCAATCACTTAGGCACAACTTTAGTGACTTCTCTCAAAAAACCCTCTACTGCTGTTGAGTTAAACATTTTATCACAAGTTTTATGCCGTTTTACAGGAATTTAGCATCTTAACTTGAAAGATAAAGGCACTAATTCTAAAAACATGTTAGGGGACAATCATGAAATGAAATTTCAAAATCAGAACTGCTTTCTTTAAATTCTGGACCAATGGCAAAACTCACATGCAGCTACTAACTGGTAGTTCAAAAAACATTAGATATAAAGTACAGAAATTTAGCAGTATCTGAACTAAGTCTTTGTCTAACAATTATACTAATTTCAACACTTGTGTTTAGACATAACTTAGAATTGTATTCTTAATTTGCGGTTAAAAAACCATAAGGCAAACAATGTCCTGTATTTTAGTTTCCCTAAATGATAAGAATAAACTTCAAGAATGAGCTTTGCTCTCTTAAAAATTCTAAGCAAGCTAAACTGTAACTGAGAGACCTGTTAAGGCCAAATACATTTTTGTTGCATTTTCTTTCTAACATAAGTAAAAAAGAAAACCTAGCACTATGTAAAAATAAAAATCGGTGCAGAAGAATTATAGCTCGGAAACAACAAAATGCAGAGTCATAAAACTCTCCGTTTTCTCAAAGAAACAATTTTGGTCACACATATAAAATACACTGAGAATAGGGGCCAGTTCCAGAAGTGTTTAAAAGAGAAGAACAGTGACTATACTGTACTTCCTTTCACTCACAATAGACAATTCATACCTCAACATATAGATTCTGATTCCAGGAAAAAGTGTTTCACATTTTGAATTCCTACAGTTTAAAACCTGCTTACACTGCCTAAACATACACAGAAAAATAACAAAACAATGCTGAATTTTCTTGTAATATGTGGGAAAAAAAAAACATTATAGTGAATTTAATCTTGCAACAAGTTTCATTCATGTTCTTGAGATGAATATACATCGTGCTCTATCTCTGGGTCACAAGTTCCCAACTTAGGTCCATTTTAAAAAGAAGCATATTTAATTTACCTGTTTTTTCTTCTGTGCTTCATTAGAGTCTAGCACGGAAGTGGAAACAACAGGCAAAGATTTCTGTGCTGCCTTCAAAGCAGCAGGGTTGTACACAGTTTTTGTCAAGCCAGTAGAAGTAGATAAAACCTATAGGAGGAAATCATTTTATTTTTTTGCCAGTGAATTTCAATCTTTTAAAAAACCCGCATGAGTGCTTAAAAATATATAAGTGTCTTTTCTTTTGTCTCCTTTGATTATGGAATATAAAAATTTGGTGTAGCAATTATATTTGTAGTTGTTGAAGTTAAATTCTGAAGAGGCAGCACCACAACAGATACGTAAGCTATCAACATAAGCTTATAACTCCTCTCCACTGAGATTTTCTATATACTTCCAAGTTTCAAATACATAAATATTTACGTATTTGAGCATAACTAAGGAAACAGAAGATAGAGGTTTTTGCAAATGTAACTGCTGTTTTTGTGGTTTGAATACAATATTTCACAGCTGATGAATCTTCCAAGTAGAAGTTCAAGATAATTTTAGAGACTAAGGTGCAACAGTTTCTTTTCATATGCAGTTGGTGTGAAGTAGAGTTTGCACAATAGCAAGAGGTAACTCAAGTACAAGGAAGTCTTCAATATTATACAGTAAAGGAAGAGACTCCTATGTCTCTCTGTTCTCTTTCCTACAATTGTAATGAGGTATGAAATTTCTCCATGACTTACTGAGAATACTGATGACTGCTTCACAATCTCTCTAAAACATACTATGCATGTCTGCACAATACCTGAAGATTTGAACTGTTATGTTTTCTTAGCCTGTTCCTTAAAGAGTTTTTTGGGCATGCTAATACTGAAAAATTCATGGCTAAGTCCTAGAGATAATATAGGCATGATCTTGTCCGCCTTGTTAGCAAGTAGAAGCAATTATGCAATTGGTATTACTTCCAGGAGTTTAAAAATACTTCCTTATCTATTCGGAAAATTAAAAGATGCATGCAGATTCTATTGGTCACCATGCACTCCATAAAATAGACAAAATGCCCACCAACAGAAGGAGAAAAAAAAAGAGACAGACAAGAAACAGAAAGACAGAAAAGACCAAGAGATTAGAAGAATTTACAACAGAAACATTTCATATAAACCCTTTGCACTTCAGTGTGATATTTATCCTATTTCTTCCCACAGTAAAGTGTTTTCAAGAGTAAGCAGTGCACAGAAAACAACAGCAAAAGGAAACTAACACATATTATGCGGTACTATAGAAGGTGGTACAAAATGCTCTAAGCAGGCCATTACAAAGATTAAGGACATTTTCTAAATCTATTAAAGAACATTAAAGTATGCATATCCCAACGATACAGTTTCTATTACAAAGTAGCTTTAGGACAGGCTACAAGACAAGCAGAGGATCAAGCAAAGACACAAATACTGACACATTCCTTTTGCCCTGAACTGTCCTCAGGAGCAGAGTGAACCACACCTCCTCCTCTTTGTTATGTTGGAGATGTAAGGAGAGGCACCACAGCACCAACACAGAGAAGCCAAAAGCAAAAACTAAGGTCTTCTAAATCGCTTAATACTATTCAAGAGAAGGAACAGTGTGAATAGCGTGAAACTCTTCACAAGACCATAGATTGCAAGTCCCCTATACAGATCTTACAAGGTCTCACAATGACTTTTATCACCTTTTCTCCTGCTCTTCGGGAAGAATAGTAACCTCCCCTCTCACTGCAAAGTTCTGGTCAAACCGTGCACTCCATTAGGCGTAAAAAAAATGTCTAGGACATGACACCTCTTGTTTTTGACAAATGTTAATCATTTTACTTGCAATGGTTATACAATACAATGACTGCAAACTAGAGAAGGTATTTCCTTGTAAAGAGGAAGTATTAAGTAAAAATAAGTCAAATCAAGTTTCAGAATCCTACTAAAATTTTCAAAGGAAACTGCTGTTTCATAACAAACACAGTGAACAGCTCAGCTGCTTAGCACAATCACATCTGTACTATAAGACAACAGAACAAAGAAAACATTCTAGCATAAAATTTACTCTTTGTAGCAAAGTGTTTCAGGATAACTCAACTCTTAGGCAATGAGGAAAGAAAACTATTTCCATTCAAGATGCAAGCTGAAGCAGGCTTTCTAGTTCTAAAGTAAGCATGTATTATGTGTGTAAAATGTAGCTCAGGAATACACAGCAAGGTATTTATCTGTAACTAATTTAGAGTACCAAGAATGTAACTAATCAAACTAACAACAAAATACAGGCAAGAAGCTTTGATCAATGCATTTAGGTGGACTGCTCAGCTTGAAATGAATCAGACACATTCTCTATTATTACAACTAATATTATCAACTTCAGGTATTGTTACCTTTCTACGCTAAGTATCTCTGGAGTGAATTTTACCTGTTAGATGCACTTAATCCATCAACTCTCATAATGAAAAGGGGAGGGGATATGTGTGGGGAAATACAGTGGATGCTTCATTTATTTCAGGTCGAGCTAATTCCCAATAGACAACACATATACCTAGACAGAGGAATGTTGTTTCAGGGTAAAACTTGCTGTCTTTCTACTACAAGTCTTCTCAAATGAATGTTAGAAACACTGGGGGAGCCTGTCCCCTGAAGTGCTAAATAGATCTGGAAACATGCATTATAAATTTTGCTACCATAGTAAACACATCATCCACTTTGTACTCTAAATACTGGAACCACTGGCCAGAATACATAGCTCATAACCACAATTCAGATGCATCTTTCCCACCTTACCTCTCTTTGTCCTTCCTATACTGATTAATTTCCACCTTTATCTTTTCACAAGTACTGCAAATTTTAAAATCAAATAAAACAGTAAATGTTTGCAGCATCACCTTTTAAGGGGCAGAAGTCCAGAAACATTTTTACAGAACTGCTTTTAAAGTGTCATATGTAATGTCAAAATTAATTTATTTTTAAAATTTATTTTTGTACACTTCTAAACCACTCAAGATTATGGAACATATCAAGCTCTTTTTGTGACCGAATAAAAGGAACCTGATAGATTAAACAAATTCCACAAAATAGAAGCTTTTGTCCTTCTTATAATCATTTAGCCATCATCTGAGTTTTCATTTATTATACTTCCTAAAACTAATACTTCACAAATTATTTTATTTGAAGTTATGAAAGAATTTTGACACAAGAGGTTTCATAAAAAAACTAATTCTACTGAAAATAAATATGAGAGAAGAGAATATGAGACATTTTCTTACCTTTTCAGTTGTTGGAGTAACTGGCTTTGACACAAAACCCAGTCTATCCTTCACAGATAATTTAGTCACATTCTAAGAAAACAAAGCAAAATTGTAGTTCAAATGTAGACTACAAGCATTAGCAATTTAGAAAAAAAATGTAACTAATAAAACCATAGACTTTTGAACAACAATAGAAGAAAAAAATGCAAAGAGTTGATAAAATTAATTTTAGATAAAATTCATTTAGATATTTGATTTTGCGGTTAATATACATCTATAACTGCGTAAGACAAGTATGAAGCCAAATTTGGAATCAAAGATTATCCTACATATTTTTTGCAAGAAGAAGAAAACATGCTAGATGGCAGAGGATTATCTGCACAGGCCCTTTTAAATACACTACAGTTCTTGTGCTCTATAATCTGCTATTTGCAATTTACATCTGCATGAAATGCAGTAAGTTGTTAGAATTTGGACTACAAATGTGCTCTGATTTGTGCTGGTCTTCCTTTCCAGAAGTAAAACCAAAGCGGTGGCATAATGCTAATAATAAAATATTGCAAATAAAATAAAACATTAAAGATTATTTCTAATGGGAGTAACACACCATATTCCATCATTAGTCACACTGGTACTGTGGTTACATTCTTCCTTTTATTAGAGGTGATGCACAAATTCTGAAAATTCTTCTAGATAACAGAGCTTCATTCTCTAGTGGTTTTAAGTGCTTAACAGATAAAATATATATACATTTTAAAAAAAAATTAGCTTTCAGTTCTTTGGGAAGACATTCACTTTATTTTGAAATCTGACACTAGCAATACAACACAACAATCCTGAAACAGTCTGAGAGCCTTTCAGCTTTTCTTTTTAAACTATGTAAAAAGCTGTAATATCAAAAAATTATTAATTATTAAACTACACTCAGGTAAAAAAGCCAAGTATCATTGCGCTGAGGAAAACCTTAGTAGGAAAGCACCACTAACAATGTAAGCAGATGCAATTTGAATAAGTAAATGTGTACTCACACTATAGAAGTAACCAGTGCATTCATACACTATAGAACCTATTTCAGAAAGAAGAGGACTCAACAAACCTGAGTGATTTCTGTGTTGGCACCCTGTGCTTCTGCAGGTTCAATATTACTCGCAGGTACTGGGCCCAGCCGCTCCTTCACCGACTGCTTCACTACAGGCAAAGTGGGCTGCTGCACTAAGGGCTGGATCACCTGGAACACCGCCCCAGCCCCCAAAAGGCACAGTGCAAGATTAACAACAAAAGGCTGCTACGTGGGTCATTAAGTTAGTACACAATGAAATTACAATGGAATTTACATTTACGCTTCCTCCCTTCTATCACTCAATGGCTTTTTCACCTGATGGGAAAAACAACCACTTCATGAGATTTATTATGTCATACTGAATATTTGTGAAGTGTGAGTGCCAATAACATCCATTTTGCATTTGCAGGTAAAAGAACTGACCAAACAACTCTGATTTATTTCTATTAATTACATATACTCAGCCTAACTTAGATTCTACCTGTTAGAACAAGATAAAACGTAATAAAGAAGTCTTCTGATTCCTCTCACAACTCTTTCAACATCAACCATTTACTTATGAAAAGACAGACTACAAACTTCTATCACAAAGACTCTCACTTTTTACACTGATATGTCACTTTTCATCTCCTATGTGTTTAACTTGAACAAAACAGAAAATGAAAAGGATAGAGAAACACACAGTCATGGGACTGAAGAAAAAGAAAAGTGAGCATATAATCTTTGAATCTTCCATGCATATACCCTGACACCTTTCCTTTTTTTTTCTTTGACAAAAACATTCAACAGTTAAGACCAAAAAATATGCTTCCAAGTAAGCTTATTGTCATATTTATAGCTCTCAGAAGGTCACCTAATCCATTTCTCCACTGCAGGGCAAAGTCAGTTATGCCATTACTGACAGTATCTATCTATCCATCTCATTCTTACAGATTTCCAATGAAACAGGCCCAGTCACCTCGCTTGGAAAAAGTGCTTCAGTATACTTCAGCATTAGAAAATGGTTTTTTTAATATTTAACCTAAATCTCTTTGTGCTGCCTTTTAAGCCCAGAACTTCCCATTTTATCTTCCTCAGATGTGGAGAGCAAATAATTTTCTGCTTCTTGGCAGAAGCCTTTTATTTGATGATTTATTGTAGTTGACTTCCACTATCTTCACCTAAGTATTTCCACCGCTCTTTGGTGCCTGACAGACAAAATCTGGCCGGAAGCCATTAAAAATACAGGAATTAACCCATAATCAATTAACATAATAGAAATCTTGACAAAAATACAAATATTTACAGTATATGAAGAAGTATAAAGTTTCTATATTACTCAAAGATATGATACCAAATATTTATTACAATTAAAAGAGAAGTAAATATTCATCCTCCTGAAAGACTTATTAAGAAAAATACCTGTTTACTGACTTAACAATTTGTTAAATGTTATATCTCAGGGTAGAAGAACATAGAAACACTGCACTTAAAATTTTCATTTCCTGTTAAAAGTTTTTCTTGTTACCATGTGCCTTCTGTTGCTGATAACAGACTTCAAAATGCAGTTGGCTGACATGTGCTGAATGGCTGCTCATGGTGAGGCAGGAAAATTTAATACTGTCCGCAGGACTAAGGGGAATTCATTCTCAAACCAGCAAAGTTAACTTTTTAAAGGTGGTGTGATTGGAGCTGTTAACACCACTAAAAATTATGAGACTACTAAAAAGAGCAAAGATATAGATAAAATGTTTTTTTGTAAATATAGACTTAAAACTCCATATAATATTCTCAACAGCATAATCAGCAAATAAGCTGATAGCATAGTTCAAGTTATCCTTTGAGCAAGAGGGAATGTCTGCAGGAATGCAAATTACGTACTTCACTGCCCTCTTCTGGCTGAGAAGAAATTCAAGCTTAGAAAATAAATACCATTTTGAGCAGCACTACTTTAGACAAAGCATTAAGGATATCAATAAAATCTGAAAGATAGTAACAGGGAACTTAGTGAGATAGATGTCATTAAAATCGAATTTTTTAAGATAAAAATCAGGGCATTTCTTACAAAGGAGTGAAAGGAAACTCCTAAAATGCTGTACAGCAGGATTGCCATGGAAAACCAGGTCACTGACTCTCAATGATGATAACATACACCATCAAGAGAAAGCAGGAATTCTCAACTCAGAGCAGTAATTGAAAAAATCCTCTAGCAAGTCATTCACGTATTATATCAGCATATATAATTGACCATTTCTTCTACAGTGCCTGTCTCATGCTTTTGAAGCAGAACATGCTGTTCCACACTGATGGCAAATGAAATAGAGCAGGAGACACAAGTATTTTGTAGAAGTTGCTACACCAGGTGCTGAGAAGCCTCTACTCAATAACCCACAGAGCCAGGGAGAATTCAAGTTTCCCCTTTTGCTTGAGTACAGTCACTACTGTACTGCTGACAAGTTTGATTTGGCTTGACACAGGTTATAAATCTACCCTTCACAACAGTAACTGTTGTTTTATTTTTTTAACGTTGTCAATGCTGCTATGGACATTACAACTTCCAAAAGGTGATCCTTTGTAATTCAATAAAAAAATGTAGATTAGTGTATTGCAGTTGTAAGGGACCTGCAACAATCATCTAGTCCAACGATCACTTCAGGGCTGACCAAAAGTTAAAGCACATTGTTAAGGACACTGTCCAAATACCTCTTAAACAGTGACAGGCTTGGGGCCATAGCCACCTCACTAGAAAACCTGTGTCACTGTCTGACCATTCAGTAAAGAAATGCTTCATGCCCAGTCTGGACCTCTTTTGATACACCTCCAATCCATTCACAGATATTATGTCCCAGGATATCATAGAGATCAGCAGCTACCTCTCTAGTTAAAAATGTCCCTGATCCCCTCCTAGAAAATTAGTCTCTTCTAATGCACTTCTCCTCTTCCACTGCCATTTCCAAGTCCTTAGATCTATGTTTGTATACTCTGAGTAAAACAAACTCTTCTGCTACTTTGAGAAGTGCTTGATAGAAAAGAGGGAATACCAGAACCTCTTGGAAGAAAGCGGAGATCATCTTTCACGAAAAGAAATATAACTCTACTGCCTTTCTTATGCTCACCGAAAAAACCAGAAAAGCCTATACTAATTAAAGCAAAATAGATGCTATTCAGCAGACCAGAAAAGCCTATACTAATTAAAGCAAAATAGATGCAATTCAGCAGAGAGCTGCATCAAATCGTGCTTGACATGGTAACAGAGTGGATTACACCAAAAGTGCTTTCTTTAAATACCTTCATACTCATCTTGCTAATCAACTGCTGAACGTTGTATATGAGTTGAAGAATTTACAACTGAAGAGTGACTTTGGAAAATTAATTACATGAAGAAGTCATTATCTCAAAAGGACTTAGTTTACTTGATATAAACATTCTCTTAAAAACATTTTGAATAATCTATTTTACATAATATTCTAGAACAGACTTAGATCCTCTACCTTCTGTGCAGTAGTCTGGATTTGTGGTGTGCTGCCTTCTCGATGCCAATAAACTTTAATAAAACGATTATTTAATACTGCTTCTGTACTTGATATAGCTTTCTTTGCTTCCTCATGTGTGGCAAACTGAATAAGGGCACCTTCTGGATCACCTTGATATGCAACCTAAAATTTAAAACAGAAAAACAAAACTTACCACACAGAGGATTCTCATTTGTGTCTAAATTATCATTAAATCATTAACTTTTAGGCTTAGAAGTAATTTATACCCATTATGTGTCATTAGATAAATACTTCCCATTCATGAGCCTGTTTGAAAGGCCTGGTGTCAAAATCAACCTTGAGTTTATGCCAATAAACTTTAGGAATAGTTAAAAAAACCTCAAACAAGCAAAGCAAAACCTCCAGACAACCAGTATTTCCATCTGCAAATATGCATAGTTGTTTGGAAGACAAAAAGAAGCATCAGCAAAGTAAATTACTACAAAAAATGCAGGGTCAGATAGTAAATGTCCTATCAAATATCAGAGACAGACAGCAAAGTTAATTTTGATTTCCCTCCTTTGAGCATAAACACATTTTAGCTTCAAAAGCCAAGATTATACTCTTTGCAGGAAAAGCATAATTTGCAATCTCCATATATACATCTGTCTCTCCATACACATCCATATTTTACCTGTCTTAATAAATAATACTCCCTGCTAATACACCAATATTCTTAGGTGAACTACAGAAAGGCTTAAGAAATATTTATTAGCAATTAAGAGAGATTTCAAATCCCTGCAGTGTTAAGACAGACACAGAAGGTTTGTTCTGTACTGTGACAATACACACGAAAAAATTGTTGCACCTCTACATTCCAGCCCTCAGAGCAAACAAGAAAGGGTTTAAAAAAATGCAAGGTAGCATCTGAAACTTTTTGATAATGAAGCATAGTGAAAAGGTCACACTGAGTAGCTTAGAGACTGGGTATGAAATACTGACATTACTCATGCAGCCTGCAATATGTAACATCAGCCCAAGTTAAGCCCTAGTTCCTTCAGTGCTTTCCTCTCTCTTGAATTGTTTATTGACTCCAATAAACCACAAAGCAATTTTAAGGGACAAACCATCATTACTGTGGAACTAGAAAGCAAGTATGTCACAGGGACTACTTTCTGGATAAGAAATACAGGTTTTCTGTATTTACAATTTATCTGTGAATAAACAGAGCATTTATAATAGCAAATGCAAACTCGAGAAAATGGGTGATAAAAACCCATGTGCAATTTACAATGTTTTAAAAAATGTCTCTTAATAAAAGTCTTATCTCTGAGGAACACATTTGTCCAAAACCTAAAAAATGACTAGAACATTTCATTTCTGCTTCTTTAATGGCAATATCAGTAAAAGCAATGAGATCTTGTTTAAGAAACAAGTTAAGAAAATAATAAAGAGTTTCAGGGAACCAGGAAAAAACCTGGCATTCTGCTTTTAGCAACTACCACTACCTTTGTATCAAAGTGTACTGTACTGCTTTCTCTTTGTTGACTCTTACCTGCAAGTTGACTAAGTTTCCAAACTTACTGAAGTGCTCATTAAGTTTGCTGATGTTGTTAAGTTCTGGAGGAACTTTTCGCAATTCAAGTTTTGTATTTTCATTTCCAAACTGCACTTTCTTCTGGAAACCTGGACTATTTGTTCTGTTAAAATTTTGCCTGCAACAAATAAAAAATCAAGCCAGAAATCCATAGCAAACTAGCAAACACAATGTTAAATTGTATATGCTTACACAGAAGCATGTGTGCATGAGACACAATGATCTGCAGACTTAAAAAATAATGCAATTTTACAAAAAGTGAAGGAGCATACAGGACACATGCCCATACATCTACTATCTTCCCCACTGATATTTTCAGCATATTCCTGCACATAAATCTGTGAGATAACTCACATTTCTTTGCTAATGTCAGTAATTCCTGACTTCCATGCTGATTCTCTCCAAAAACTGTTTCTTAGCTAGTCCATGAAATTTCACCACTGCTGTTTCAAATAACTATTATCAAGGCTCTCCTCACTCCCAAAAATCTCTTAAAACCCCTTCCAACCTTGCACACAGTTTTTTTCTCAGTAACATATCTGGCAACTCAAATGAAAATAGACGTGCTAAAATTTCACAACTAAAATCAGTCATCTCTAACAACCATCACATTGTAGTTTCCCTGTTTCTTAGATCATGCCAACTTTCAAGGAACAGATCTAAGTATCATCCAAAGCAACTTCATCTATCTCTATACTACCTTTGATAGAAGACAGTCAAATACAGCTCATACTATAGTATGATTTACTTTAGTACCAGCAGTGTACTCACAGTTTCGCCTGCTTGGAATTTATAGACATATACATATGTTTCAGGTCACAGTAAAGCAGTTAATGAAATTCCAACTCTTAAGCCAACACTGGGTTTAACAGTCACTCACTTGTCAAACCAAGTCTTCTTTGTAGGAACTCCACCATCCCCTGCACCAATTGTTCTTTTCCTGGATTCAGCATCTACCACTATTCTCATACTACTTTTATTAGGAGGTTTTTCTGTAAATAGATGAGAAGATTTTACTTTTTAAAAAATTATTTTCTGTGTATTTGATTGTAAAAAAGTATTCTGCTCACATTGAATTTGCACCGAAAAGCACAATTGTTTATTTTGAAATTACAATGATTCTCGTTCTGACTGAATCAAACCTTGGTCACAGGCTTCTCTTTTTAACTATCAACAGATGCTGTGACAGATCAAAACAGCTAATAGCACTCATTTTGTCACAGTAACATCACACATACAGAAAACAAAAGAGGTGTGACAGAAGGCATCTGCCTTGAGATGACTGCGCTCTGATTCACAATGATTCACAATGTCCCATGCAATACTCTGAGGCTAACACCACTCCAGATAACACCTCCATTCTACTATTAGATGGCACACACAAAAATGGTCATGATAGGAAATGCACAGTACTCCAGGGCACTAACACCTAGGAGCAAGATTTATGGATGGAGTGGGAAAGGAGTCACTTTTGCTGAAGAACAGGAATCACACTGGGGGACTCCTCACTGAAAATACACCAACAGAAACATAGTAAGATTAAAGATAAATACATACAAATGCAAATAAAAACCACATTAAAAATGGTTTTATCCCTCTTCCATTCTCATTTTATGTGCTGCTGCTTCTTCTCAGGGCCACAGGAACTGCGAGGTTAAGAGTATCGTACACAAAACTGCTACCAGATAAAAATGACTCCCTCCTCTCAGCAGCAAAAATTATCCTGAGGTTCTACTACAGAAACATTAACATTATTCTGTACAAAAGATATACAAAGGGACCAGTTACTACAGAGTAAACTATGCAATACTATAGCAAGAGATTTCATTTTACCTGTAAAAATGCAAGCACAAAGCAATTATAGACATAGTTCCCTATTCAACTAAACATCTCTTAATTCCAGAAGACTTTATAAAAATGCAATGTTTTCCAGGTTTTCTCTGAAAAGTTCCTCAACCTGCATTAATGTAAGAAAATCAGCTAAACTAAGTATAACTTTGAGAGCATACCTCTGGGTGGGAGATCCATATCACCTGACGTGAGTCCTATCAAATTTGGTCTTTGGGCATGTACTCTATGTCTATACATAGGTCTTGAAGTATTTGTTATACTTGGAGCTTCTGGATTATAGCCATCTGTGTCATACGTTTCTGGTAATGAAGAAATTGTCTCATTAAAATAAATTGCAGTTAAAACCCCTAAGGTTTCAAATATAATATAACATTTAATTTAATTACAAGACAGAGTTATAATAAAAGAGTTGTATAATCACTATCATAAAAAACCATTGTGCCAAGTTTTCTGTTTAAACACAATGAAAATATTACTCTCCAGCCAAAATTCATACTTTATATGCAAATTTTACTTCCATCTTGAACTAAGTCTGGAAAGAAGAATGTTAATTTACTGTCACAATCTATATGATACAAACTTATTCTCCCAAACTATGACATTATGATCTCTATAAAGTACACTATAATATGAATCAATGTTATTCTATTTAGCAAACCTTGTGGGCAAAGCCTCAGTACTACACCTGCTGTAAAAAGAGAGGGTGGAGCAGGAGGCGGCTGGTGATGAATACCCGTGGTAACAACAGTAGGAACTGAGCTGGTTGCTGAGTTTGGGGGGGCATCCATGCCAGCAGGCTGTAATGGTGGAAGGGGAGGGGGTGGTCCTGTCAAAAACAAAGGAAAACACTGCATTAATTTATTATCCACTACACTTTCATTACACTCCACTCATAAGGAAACTGATCTGAAATGCTTTTAAGGCCATTTCAGAAAAATGGGGCTGAGGGCACATATGCAGACTCGATGCTGCACCATAAATTCACATGAAACCACCCCCAAAAGCAAATGACTCAGAACTTGGATCAGAGACAAAAGCATTTGAATCATTTAACATTTCTCCAAACACCTTTTCTCTACAAGCAAAATTTAATTGCTAGCCCAGTATTCATCTTCACCAACAGAAGTATTTTAAAGCTCAATATAAACTTATCAAAGAAACAAATTCAATTTTTAAAATAAAAAAATATTTTTTAATATAACAAGAATATTCTGTGATGACAATAACTAACTTGACTGAAATTATTTTTCCAAATACCCAAGAAGAAACCTTCACCTAATGGAGCTCTTCTTAAAATTGAGGGGGTTTTTTCACTTGATTGGTTTGACGTTTTTTTAACATGTAATGTGACATTTCAAAGCTAAGCAGTCAAGCCCAATCTTCAGTTTTATCATTGAGAAGAGCAGGTTTTGGAAGAAGTTATAAAGTGATACATCTGAACATGTGAAGCAGATCTGAAAACAGCATGTAAGGTAGAACTGACCAGCCCAGAGGAGGTTGCACTCAGTATTAACTGAAATAAATACATTCATTCCTATCTTTCTTAAATATGCTATCAACAGGAAATTAAAACAGTTTAAGAAATTTCTAAACAGTACCAAATATCAACTACTCCTGAATAATTTTACTAAGTGGGACACCTAAGTTAATAAAAAAAGAAAGGAATAACCATATAAAACTAACGTAGCAGCTTTTAAATAACACAAGGCAACTGTGCACTAAACTTTGTCTACTTTATAAATGACAGCCAGACACATAAGTTTTCATGTAATTTTTAGTGCTTCTGCTGAAGTACTTTCCAGTGAAACAGTAAACAAATTGAAGAATTTTTCTTAATTACTTTACAAATTTAGTTTCAAAATTAATCCCAAACTGTATTTTCAAGTATAAATTTGATGTGGTCATGAATTATCTTTACTACTATTAATATAAATGAAACAGTAAAGATTTGTTATTTCCTTCTTTAACAGTAGTCAATTTTGGATAACTTCTCTGTAATACTCAAGGAATTTTATTTTGCCATGTCACGGATTTGCTAAAATACAATGAAAATATTATTCCATATTAAAGGGTCACATTTAGCATGCAACATTTTACAACAACCAACTCTGCAACAATTATCATCAGAAAGAATAATTTTGAGGTAAGCTATGCCATAGCAGAGCATAGTTCAATTTTCTATAATACAGCTGCGATTCTTCAAAACAGCTTTTTGCACTGCGCACAATCCAAGCAAGACCCAGGCTTTTCTACTAAAAAATGGAATTCAATCTCTTTTAATTACCTGTTACAGGTGGAAGGCTAGGTGGTAAGGGACCTGGTGGTGGTACTGGGGGTCTAAGGTTAACAGGAGGAGGACTCAGAATTGGTGGAGGGGGAGGGAGTCCAGGAGGAGGTGGTCCTTCGACAACAGGGGGTTGTGCTGGAAAAGGCAGAATGCCAGGAAGATTCACATCTTCTACCACTACTGGATCGCTTCCATGATCAAAAGGGCACATGTCTCCCCTCATACAGAAACCCTTCTCTGAAATATCAAAAAGAATTGATGTTAGTATTCCATAGCTGTAGCTTGATCCAGGGTAGATACATGACATTCAGTGTGTAATGTGGCAGTTTGTAAATTAAGAGCTCCACATACCAGCAAGAAGCTTAGATTAGAAAATGAAATTGACCATTTAACTTTTTATTCTTAACAGTCAGCACACACAGACATTGCAGAAACATGCTAGCACAGAAGTATTCAATTCTACTTGAAGAACTAATTCTGCAGTGATTTATAACAAATGGTGAAAGCAAAGAATGAAATGTAGATGTCACCACATTAACAAAATCAATTTGTTTCTAAGCAAAAAGTGCAGACACTAGGATTGAGAGAGTCCTGTTAAAAGTCACACATTAATACTTTGAAATTCCAATATGAACAAATTCACTCACTTTTTTCCTCTTTTGCAATTATTTCAGGAAGCATTATAAGCATTTGCCATAGTTTAATGTGATTATATAAGAAAAAATATTGTTATTTACATATAACAGATGCATTTGTAAATATTAAATATATAGAAATAAAAATGAATATACGTTCACTTATTTTCTTTTACCCACAAGTCAAACACAGAAGCTAGTCAGAGGAGGGCCACAAAAATTACTAGAAGGCTGAAGAGCCTCTCTTATGAGGAAGGGCTGAGAGAGCTGAGGCTGTTCAGACTGGAGAAAAGAAGGCTCAGAGCAGTGAATTTAAGTACTCACTGCAGCCTTTAACTACTTCCAACATTTTGGTGGGACCAGAAGTGATAGAACCAGGGGTCATAGTTTTAAACTAAAACACTGTAGATTCAAAGCAAATATAAGAAAAAGAAAGTGTTATAATGAGGATGGTGAAATAGTGGAAGAGGTTGCCCAGAAAAGTGGTGGATGTCCCATCCCTGGAAACATTCAAGGTCATGTTGAACTGGGCTCTGAGCAACAAGATCTCTCTGAAGATGACCATGTTCACTGTAGGGATGTTAGATTAGATGACTTTTATAGGGCCCTTCTAGCCCAAATCATTCTATTATCTGTTTAGCAACAGTCACCACAAAAACAACACCAAAATACCAGTCAATGCAATACAGGGAAAAGGCTGAAACACCTTCTGGTAGGAAGAAAGAGTGCCCATTTACTCAAAAAATGATGCAGGGAAGCAGTATGTATTACCTCATCTTTAGGAATAGTTATAGAACACGTTCAATTGAAATATTAAACAAAAACAGAAGTTCAGCAGAGGGCAAAGTTGAAAATTTGAAAGTGCAGATAGGAAGAGCAGAATGATGGAACCATGTGATCACTGAAGACAGAAAACTTCTTAACAAAATTACACATTCACAACTCCACTTCCTCCACAGCATCACTGTGACGTACACTGGCAAAGCTGTTCTTCTTAAGTACAACTCTGCCAACACTTGAAAGCTCAGTTTTCTATTTTCTTTACTTAAAAGAAAAAAATCTAATCAGAGCTCTAAATGTAAACTGGCCTAGAAGTTTAACTCCTCACTGTGGTACACAGTAATAACAACAAAATCCCTCAGGGGCGACTTTACAGGGAGATTTCAACTCTCCTGAGCTCACAGGCTGACAGGCTGAACTCAAGGCACTGCCAGCTGCAGCAGCCTCTTGTGAATATTTTGGCAAAAGACACTTAAAATGAAAGCTTAAGACAGGGATAAGTGAAAACCTAGACTGCTTTAAGAAACACCTACACAGAAAGAAATTATGGTCTAACATGAGCCTGTGAAGTTTCAGCTCTAGACCTTTGCAGTTAAAAATTGTCTCATAGGATAGAATGAAATAGGATGAGATCAGTAAGGTGCTAACCATTGTCAAAACCATCAAATACAGTATTTGGTTGCAACATGACATAGGACAGAAAACCTGGGTAAAACTCGATTTTTTTTAATAACTTCTTAATATACTATATTTCATTTATAGAAAATAGTCCTAGCAAGTTAAAAAAAATATACAAATACTAAAAGAGCAAGCTGTCTAAAGTCAGTAAGAAGAGGTACAAAATTTGCATTCAAGAATTGCGTAGTAAAACCCCACATTACTAAAGAAGATCAGAAAAAGAAGGGTGAATTACCTCTATCTTTTCAGAAAGGGGACAATCATAGATGCAGGAAGCAACTGAAAAATTAAAATGTACTTACCATCATAATCTCTACAGCGTTTCTTTGGCAGCGGAGGTCTTCCATAGGAGTTGTGGTCCAGCTGCTCTTCATGGAACTCTGACCAACTTTCAGTAGTGTTATTTCCATGATGAGCAGGAGCAATAACAGTAATAGTACTGCTCAGTGTAGGGACAGGGTAGTGGCCAGATGAAATATTTGTCACAGAAGAAACAGGAGTATAATTGTTCTCTAATGGATCTGTTCTATCCATGTCATATTTTGGCTTTCCCAAATCCCTTTCTGTAACAAAAAAATAAAAATAAAAATTATATTGGATAATTTCTTACTAACCTTTTCACCAGAAGCAGCCACTATTGTTTAAGTATCTTTACTCCACATCAACTCAACATACATTGACAAAAATTGAAATGTTTTACAGGTTGCCCAAAATGCTTGCAGAGTCTTCCACCCTTGGAGTTATAAATAACCCAGCTGGTTCTAAGCAACCTGCTATAGCTTATTTTCTTTGATAAAGGGTGTTAGACTATACCATCTTCAGAGGTCTCCTCTAACCTCAACTATTCCATGATTCTATATTCCAAAGGTTTAACCAGAAAAATAGTAATCTGTGAACTACATAGTCAGACCCTGGGCTATTTTAGTAACAGCTATATCCACAGTAGAGCAGATACCCTATTTAACTTCAGGCAGTGTACATCTTTACTGATGCATGTATTGTAAGAACTTCAGATGGAAAGTTTTTTTAAATAAAGGGATGCAATGGCAAGAAAAGGGTAACCATTCCTTGAAAACAGTATAAAAGTTACAAATCCTTAATGTTTCAAGACAATGTTATTGTATCTTCATTTTGCTGATCTTTGCTTTCTGTTCCATGCAAATGCATGTATTTATTGCATGCAAAGCCTTGCCATAACAGGTGAAAGAATAATGCTTGACAGGTGTCGAACACTCCTGGGTAGATACAGCATGAAAAATGACCTTTTATTCTGAATACATACAAACTATTCTCTTAATTTTCAGGTATTACTACCAAATAAGCAGTAAATATGCCAATTAAGACAGAATAGTTATTTCATTACATAAGTTAATAGACTTAAATAACTCCACATTAAAGGAACATTATGAAATATCTTAAAGATAGGTTATAAGTATGGGTAAACAAGTTTTTTTCATGTTCTAAGAAAAAGAAACAAAGCTTTCACTATACAATATTGTCCATAAGGTACTGTCACTTCAGTTTATGTAAATAATCCTTAAATTAAGACTTAGTCATGTTGTAATCTTTTAGTTAAACTACTGCATGTTATTTAATTTTCTTGTTAGTAACCCGTTTGGAAAGTATCTGCTCTTTTATTTTCAGAAATCTGCATTCTAGTTTTAAGGCGGAGTAACCAAGGCCTGTTTTACACAAAGAAAAATAATACACAGGAGAGTTCTACCAGACTGTTTTTACCCGTACATTGTCTAAGACAGGACAAAGATTCAAAATTACTTTCAGTACTCTTTTACAATTTACCATTAAAAGCTATTGAGGGGAAAAAACCACTCTTTTAAGCTGAATAAGCAACCCCCTTTTTAAAGAAGTTTAATTCTACAAACTACTGTACTGAAGCCTCAAGTCCTACAGATATGTGCACAAATGCAAATATTTACTGTAACAAATAGCCCTTCACCTATGATGCTAAAGAGGGGACAAGACCATAAGAACTGAGCTATACTGTTCTGCTTGACACATCATTCACTGCCAACGAGCAATTTTTACCAGTTCCACCTTTGTAGAGGGGTATTAATTTCTGTATCTCCCAAAGCCATACTCTGAGTTTCCTAAAACTTAATGAAATGGAAATAACTTTTATTTTTCTGCCTCACTTGCAACAATGCTTAAAAGTGGCCAGCATAGTCACCTCAATACAAAGGTACTAAATAAGAACAAGAGGGTAAGAGAGGAAAACAAGCACTGAGAACACAATCACAGAAGCCTCATTTCCACAGAAAACAAAGCTAAATTTGAATAAAGAAGCAAGAACAATAGGGGAAATTCTAGTACAGTTTGAACACAGTTTTCAAGTTTAGTTTCTAGATTTTGTAGAAAACATTCACCGTATTTTAGAGACCAACTGTTGGTACCTCTGCTTCGCGTTCTGCTCCGGCTTCTGCTCCGGTCTCGATCACGGTCCCGCAACCTCTCTTTGCTCCAACTCCTACTTCGACTCCTGCTGTAGCTCCGACTCCTCCCTCTCCGTCTGTTGTATCGATCCCTATAGGAATCTCTTCTGGGAGGATTTCGGTCATAATCCCTCTTCCGAGAACGTTCATCTTTTTTCCTTTCATCACGACTTCTAAAAATGAAATATTAGAGGTTAATTACAAGAATTATAAAGCCGTAATTTGAAATCTTAACTACTTAAAAAATTTAAGGAATGTCAAACTAGGGAGGAACTACAAATTTTATGTAACTTATGCCTACTCCTTTCTTCTCAGAAGGATTTTTAAATTAATTTTGCTTATTCATTTTATTTTTACCATACCTAAGATTTTAAAACATATATCAATTTCTCTTTCTGCCCAATATTGCATATTTCCCAAGCTGGAAACACCAAGACTTACTGAAGGGAACACTTCTAAATCAAAATTCAAACTCAATATCAAGCAGAATAAATACTTCAATATAAACCACAAAATCTAACACCAGAATTACTCTTAAAACTCCAAGGATGATAGCTGTGCACAACTTGAGACAGGTTATGCGGTTACAGTGACGCACACTTGCCACTTCACGACATATTTGTACAAGCCACAGAAGTCTTCTTTTTAGGCTTATAAGATGACAACACAGAAACAAACTATTTCATTCAGTAAAAAATCCAAATTCATTTGTTTACTGATAGAATAGATAGGGTTGGTAAGTAAAATTTTTTACCTAGTATCTCTGTAGCGAGAACTTGACTGAGGAGGGCTGTGATTTAACCTTCTAGAGAACTTCTTCTCTCGCTCTTCCTCTTTTACTATCTGAATTCAAAGCATATATATTAGATCAAAACATGATACACTAAAATGCAGACTTCTGCATAACCAAATAAAACCAAAAACTCTGAACACTGAGCAATCAGCAGTAACACTGAAATCAAATATTTTAGTCTCTAACACAATCAGAAAATCTTCATAATACGTTAATTTCTACTTCTAAGAATATTCAAAGCCTGTCTGAGAGAGAACAAAATAATCCTTATAGTGCTGCACTGAAAATACTGCTGCTTTTACTGTAGGTAGACAAAAAATCACATTAAGGCTTTGGGAAGATTTGAGAAGGCATGGATATTCAACAACCGACAGCAAAGTCTTTTTTTCATCAGCAGGTTATCTAGTTCAGCTCACACTTAAAACACTTTCACTCAGGCAAACCCAGGCTGCTATTGCAAAGCACAAACTTAAGTCTTCTGGCTCAATGAGCAACATAAACACTTGTGACAAAAGGATGTTATCTGGATCAAGCAGATGAAGGAATGAGAACTGCCATTTAGAATGGCAGCCTGGATTTATGGAGAATGAAAGTGCAGCACAACTACATCAGCAATTTGGTCCAGAGAACTAATATAAGTTATACTGCAGCTCCTACACTACTCAATAACTTCATTTACCTTTGCCTCAGCAAAACCACTTTGGTTTACCTTTGAAACACCCACTTGTGTTAGAAAAATCAGGCAGTAGCACTCAACATGCCAAGCACAAATCTTTTGACTTATTTTAATGCTGTAATGTAATTATTAATAGTATTATTAATAAATAAAAATTATTATTGATATAAGCTATAATAAATTCCTAATAACTATTACTAATAAACACTATGAAGTTAAACACATAAGCAAATTACATGAATGAGGAAAAAGATGTGTATGTAAATTAAATCAACGCCCACCTCTTCTTTTTTTGTCTCTTTTTCTGGGTGCTGAAAAAATTCTACTTTCAGGCTTCCTGATGATGGCTGTTCTGGTGGAGGTAGGTAGCTTTTTGTATTCACAGCATCAAACAGTTTTTCCACAAATATCTGAGTTTCTAAAAGTATAGAGCATACAAATATCCATTATACAAAACCATGATTAACATTTGCTTTACAAATTAATAAATAAATAAACCCAAAAAACCCAAACAAACAACCAAAACCAGCATTCAGCAAAAAGTTAAAACGAGAATACAAAGAGTATTTTCTTTAAATACTGCATTCCTAATTTATATCTTAAACATTTACATTTACAGAGTCAAAAAACGTGTCAGTAATGAATAATGTTTCACAAAAGTTTACAATTCTTGTATTATTTAATGTCTCTTAATAAAGCATCTGGAAAAATATTTCTCGCATATATATACAGAAGTTCAATACTTGTCCAGGGAAGTTGTGGATGCCCCAGCCATGGCAGCACTTGAGACAAGGTCAGACAAAGCTATGATAAACCTGGTCTAATGTGAGGTGCCCCTGCCCAGGAACTAGAGGATCTTTATGGTCCCTTTCAACCCAAACCATTCCCTGATTCTGTGCCTCTGTGATTACTAACAAAAAGTATAACTAATATATGCATACTAACCTATACACCTGGGCTTTTAAAAATTACTTTATGAAAATGGAATTACATTCTACAAAGTAACAAAGCAAATAAAAAGACCAAAGCCCAATTCTATGGTAAATGATTGCTTGAATAAATTAAACAAGACAGAATTTTCACTCAATCTTAATAATTAAGACAAAGCCCATACCTTTCTGAAGAAATACATCCAGCTGATCAACACACAATGCCTTCAGTTCCTTTTCACTTTTATCCTTCTTTACCAAGGCCAGAACATATTTAGCTAGGGCAGATGGATCTGCATCACATCTGCAAATAGATTAGTTAGAAAAAAAAAGCAATTACATTACAGAAATTAATGTCTAAAACAGGTAAAACCATTTCTTACCAAAGCAACTGTAAAATACTAAGGTGCATTTTTCAAAACAGAGTCCACATACATAACATTCTAAGTATCACTTTCCTTTTCAAGAGAACAACTGCCTAGAATATTTCCAAACAATACAGAGAACATCAGAGCAAACTATTTCATAAGAAACAGCTTCAACTGCCTGTTTTGTACTAAGAACCAAGACAACACTTCCCTCACTCCCCAAAGATGGAATCACAAATTCTGAATGTAACACTGAGTAACTGCTATCCGGGAAAAGTCAGTCTATCCAATTACAAATTAATACAGTGATACAGTAGAAGTGATCTATGAAAAACAAAACAAAACCAAAAGAAAAAAGTCAGACCCTTGAGTATTCTCCTAAATACACTTTTGAACATTCTTATTACTACTTACATATGAACACCATGAAAAATGAAACTGACTTTTTCAGTTTCAAACTTGGTTTCAAAAGCCCAGATTCATATATTGTAACGAACACTTCCATAAGAGGTACACTGAAAATGGAGGAAAATTTAGGGGATCATTACCCATTTGACATCTGAATTCAGAATTCAAGCTATAAATACAGAGCAACTCAATGTAGAAGTTGATGGTTGTATACACAGCAACAAAGAACTCAGACTGAAGAAAGCCATGTATCCACATTCAGTAGAACATTATTTAATATAAATGGCATTTTTTTTTATAATGTTTCACAAATAGGAACCTACAATGAACTTTGTGGTGGTGTAGTAAAGCCTGCCAAAGCAAGTGAGACTACTGCACAAAACTATCCACGTTTCAAAAAGAGCAACTAATGAATTGGTGAGACACTGGTCTTAAACAACTTCATCTCCTTATTTAGCACATAGCAAAGGAAGACTTGAGGCCCCACAAAATAAGGGGTTCAAGGGGTGCATACTGGTCATGTGATACAGACAGCTTATTTGGGTGGTCATCAAAGTTTGTACTCATGTTTTAAAGAATGACAAGAAGAAAAAAAGCTGTAAGATACAAATGATGAAGCTTAATTACTAATCTAAATGTTGATCATTGAAATAACATTATTTTGGACACTGGGCAAAAGAACCCAAATCCCTAAACAAACTTATCACACCACCTAATTCCTCTCACCAGAGAAGCTTATCTCCTGCACAGCAAGCAACATGCCCCATGCAGACAGGGCAAACATTGCCACTAAGCAAAGGAAGCTGATCTGTCAGCATCACTTATGGATGGCCTGGGCCCAGCACACAGAGCCCTGAAGTTAAAGGTCAGAGCTTCAAACATAACCCAGCATCCTCTAGAAAGCAGGCAATAGTAGAATTTAATGCTGAAAAAGAAACTTGGGTTGCTAGTGGACGTATCACTGTATTCCATGCTAGTCTGTTTTATTTACAGAGAAAGGAAAAGGGAGTTCATAATCACTCTACATTGCAAAAGAACCCACGCACACTAAATTAACAAAATGAAAATATATACTGTGAATTAAAAACCAGACTGCACACTGACTGAAAATCCTTCAGAAATTTTTCACACCTAGTTTGCTCCATTCAAGTCTAACAACCCAGAAGAAAATATCCAAGCACCAAGTCACTGCACAACCTGACACAACCTCCAACGGTGAGTGAAGTATGCTGCAAGCACCTGAGCACATCAGCCAAGCAGATTATCTAAAAGCCCAGTGTTGACCAATATTCATCACAGGTTGTAATGAGGGCTCTCTCTCAGCCTTCAGCAGGCCCTAAGACAAAAATTTCATAACCTCTCAATCCCTGAATTTACAAATAATTAACTTTTTTTTACTGTTTCTTCATGCAACTTCAATGGCACTCCACTTTATCAATACTTTATCAGCTTCAAGCTGAATTGTGCCATAGAAAATTATTGTGCTGTTTTCATCATGACAGGTAGGGAGCAGAAAATTTTCACATGATTATCCTCAGTTTTTCTTTTTTGTGATGTCAATTTCTGCAAATTTATTTCTCATTCGATAATACAAACAGTTAGCTGTCACTGTTCAAAATCTGCTACAAGTTACTTAAATGACATGCACTCAAAATTTAATAGGGGGTAGGGGGGAACCCCAAGTCAGTCTAAAAGTTAAAAATCTACTGCTCTTAGCTACTACAGTGTTTTAATTCTTCAGCTCCTACAGCATTGACTATACAACAACCACATATTCAGTTTAAAGCAATCCCCCTTTCATGAGCAGGATATAGACCAGAAAATCTTCTCTGGAAAGCTGCCTATACTGTAACAAACCATACACTATCCCAAAAAAAAACAAACCAAAAAAACCCACAAAACCAACAAAACCCCAAAATCCAAACAAACAGAGGATGTTTAAAAATAATGAACAGTTAACGCTTTCATTCTCTCTGCCATGATGACTTCAGAAATCTTAGCAATCCTGTCTGCCCCAGGACCTGAACTCACCAACCCAACTCCAAGATATGCCTATGAAAATATTCTCAATGAAAAAATACTTTTAATTTGCAAAACACAGAATCACTTTCTGCTGTGCACTCATGCACCTGTTTCAACACTTGTCACCCTGTATGGCCACATATGAACAATGCAAAACAACTGTACTGAATTCTAGTATAATTATTATCCATTGTGTACAGGGGAATTTCTGCAACAATAAGAATTTACATTATTTCAATTCTGGCTACTTAACAAATAATATTTTTTTAAAAAATACTAAAAGCAAATTATTTCAAATTGACACTAGTTAAACACTAATGAATACAGTGAGTGTTGTGGTAGAGTGAGATGAAGATGCTTTTGTAAACCAGCATTAGGATTTTATGCGCTTTTAATTTTTTTTAAATTAAACTGCAAATGATCTTTACACAGACAGAGGCTGACATCCTTTTTTAGGGACTCTTCTGTATCTGTTCTCCAAAGCTTGGAAAAACCCACAAACAATTAATCCATTTTCTTCACACTACTGCAAAGTACTACTATTTCTGTAAATAGTATCTTAAACAGATTTAACAAGTTTATCATCTGATCTTTTATTGCTTTCCTAACTCTTGTAAAATGTTTTTTTTTTAAGATGATGCTAAAATTAAATTGCTAGCAACCTCAAGTGGTAGAAAAGAGGACCAACTGATCTCATGAAATATAAAATAAAGTTTACAAAACTAGTTATAAAGAAAGTCTGCCTGAAAGTTTCTTTATAGCTTTCAAGAATTCTAGACATGATCTTCAATTATTGTGTTTGGGGGGAGCTTTTTTAAAAAGCAATTCCTTCCCATCTTTCACGCAAACTTAATTTTGAAATGTTCTGTATAAATTCTCAATCCACTGGTTTAGTCAAAATCTGTTGGTTTGGATTATGGGGCCTTGAACTTTTCTAATAAACAAGATCTTATGTTCTCTAGTTTAACAGTATTTTCTTAAGAGAATAGCAGCCTTTGTGTGCGAATAATACGCAATATGCTTGCTGTGTCTTTGTTGTGTATACATGGATTTTTCACCGACTTTGAGCTAGCTTTGTCAGTTTTTCTAGACCTCCTTTGTCTTGCATTTTATGCTCTTATAATCGACTTTGTTTTGTTAACAAGTAATGTGAGAATAAAGAAGACAGGAAAGGCACCCATTCTATCAGCAGCAAATATACCGTATAGCACAAGGATTTATCAAACAATGTATGTACCATGCTATATACTCAAAGATTGAAAGATAAGAGAGAAAGATCCTTAACTGGTATCTCAGAAAAATTAGAGTACCACCAACACATTTCAAATACACTAAGTTGCTCTAAAATGAACAAAAAATTTATATTTTGCTTCTACAGCTCACTGAATTAAATACATTTTCAATTATTGAATAGAAGTTTGAATCCTTAGCTAAATTTGAATATAATATCGTACATCAGTCCTCACCATAAACACAATCTGTGCATTACTAATGTGACAGAACTTTATACATAACTTAATTTTTAGATAACACCTGGCTACTAGAAATATGGTCATATTTATTGAAGCATGCAGAACTTTTCTCAACTCTGATTTCCCTATCTCCACCCCCTCAACATTCTGTAAGCATGTGCTGCATGCAGTAATACGGACGTGCAATCGAAAATTTCTCCTCCTCTTTTCACTTTTGTGTTTTTTTAACAAACACCAGTTGGCACAAGTAATCTGAATTCATTTCCACAGCAGTGTGCTACCATTAAACACCATAGCATGTTTTCTCACACCAAATTTCTGAATATATATCATTGTTCCTAGCAATGTTAAATGTTTTTACCTCTAGTAATATTTTTTTCAAGTCTGTATTAAGTCAGAAAATACAGTGCCTACTCCTCTCTATTAAACAAGGGAGACTGCTCATGTAACCTTGCTTTAATTAAACAGCATAGAATATATAGGCATAGATGAAAAAATTCTCTTGCTAGATCTTTACACGTTCTTCACAGAATTATACAGATAACTCCAACTGCTATGCAACAGATAGAAGCTTCAAAAAGGAAAGCAATTCCCAATCAAATATTTTGCTCAATAACAGAACAGTTTAACAAAGCTCACAGGAAAGTTCAAAAACCCATGTTTCTGATCTCATCTTGTTCTGCAGTTATTATTTGAAATTACTATTTCAAATAAAGATAAACCAGAAAAGCTGAAGCCAACAGGGTAAATTTAAGCCTTAATTTTTTTGTTGTAAATAATATTTAAAAAAAGAAAAGTAATTTGGCTGAATCACCTCTCTGTACAGTCTTCTTATTTGAATAATTTGCAATTCTTTGAACACTTTTTAACCTGTTTCCAATAGTCAATCTTTTTAATTAATGTGTTCTGAGAACCCACTTTTTCAATCACCAGGCAACTACATACATCAACCTTAATTGAGAAATTCAGTATATGTGGAATAGAATTAAAGATGATCACAAAAACACATTACTGGCGTGGCTGTATGTTCAGAA